AGAGGCCAGGGTGGTAATAAGTTAGGTGTTTCCAGAGTCTTGCATTTTCTGGGAGAGGTGTTTAATTTCCTTTCTCGCTCATCCACTGTTGTATTTAGGAATTTCCTATTAATGTTGTTGATGGCTTTAATTCCACTTGTTCCTGGTCTATTTGCCACTGTACTTGTGTATTAGTGTCATATCAGGAATGTTTCATAATTCCCGAAAAGTGGCTAGTATGATTAGCAGTGGAGACATTCACTGGATATCTGGAGAGACACTTTATGGAGAGATGCAGCTGAGAACACCTAGACGTTCATGGAAGAAAAGGCAGGGCCAAGGCAGATGGAGTCAGGAGCATAGTGAGACTGAGCGAGGCCAGTTGTCTATGTGACTAGTCAGGCAGCAAGGCTAACACAAGCACTGTTCCACAGACACAGAGCAGAACATACAAGCGGACACTGTATATCCCCAGGGCTCTGAGTTGCCCTGTGGGAAGCCCACATTTAGTGCTTGGAGAACAAGACCATAGAAGAGGCTGATAAACAATCCCTGCTAGCTGTACTTAGCATGAATATGGCCCCAGAGGTCCACCCAGAGCCTCACAAGCCAGGAACAACACTTCCAGAAAGGAGCAGAATGGGAAGAAGGGGTTTTGGGCACTACAGGAGTGCAATAGGAATGGAGAGGACAGAAATAAGACCACTACTCACAGAGGGAGGAGTGCTAGTCAGCTCAGAAGAGAGGTAGATGAGTGTAAGAAGTAGGTAGTAGTGGAGGGTATGACACAGGGCCAGCCAGAATTTTCTGGCCAAAACTCACAGCTCAGGACTACTTGGTAGAGAGGGCATAGGAAAAGCATATCTGATTTCTTAGACTGGAATCCAGAAGATGAGAATTGTGGGCAGTATGGAATATGATATACCAAGGTGACTGGTGGCCAGCAGAATGGGGAGCATAGAGTCCATGAAGGCTTTGGTCATTTTGGACTGAATGGAAGATCAGCCTACTTTCCAGTAGTGCCCTGATATTGAGATTGAGAGAAAGAGACAGATCTTTTTTCTTATTAGGAAAGCAACATATGATCACTGCAGAAAAGCTCTCAGACTCTCTCAAAATATAAAAGAAATATAAATACATGAAAAATTCCAGCAAACCCGTAACCATAAGAGAAAAATGATTGTTAGCATTTTGGTGTTTATATTTCCAGATTTTTAGTAAGTGTGTATGTGCACCTGCATGGGCATACAATTAATGTGTGTATCTGTTTTATATTTGAAATCCTATTGGAGGCACAAATAGAAAATAGATAAATTAGACAGATGGATTTTGAATTTTTTCTAGAGATGCAGCATTATACTAGATTTTAGAATGGATTCCAAGTCTATGATAGTTAATATGCTCAGTTTCATGGCTTGGATCCCAAATGACTTAACTGTTTTGTGAGTGTAAATATGCATGTACACACGTGTAGGTACACACTACTGCCACCACCACCACTCTGCCTACCACCAACTTCCTTATGTTTCTTGATAAGTACTGAATGCCAGAAGCAGGGACAGAACTATTGAAGGAATCTCCCAACTTCTAGATCAGTTTTCTGGTCACTTATTTCATGAATACTCACTATGTCAACTGGAAGAGCCAGGAGTTAAGAACTAGAATGTGAGAGAGAAGCTGCTTCTTTTAGGAAATGTTGCTGGAATTTAGGGTATGTCCTGCACAAAGACTTTCATCATATACCTTTTATGTGGGCATCCTTGTACCTTCCCCAGTCCCTTTGTTTGGACATTCCTGTCTCTGGCCCTCCTATCAGTGCCATGTGGACCTTTGTTGTGTCCTGAAGAAGTCTGGATACTATTATGTCCCAGTCTATAAAGCAGTTGATTATATTTTTATGTTTTATCTAGAAATGTTTCAAAAATATGTCCTGTGTTCTTCATTCTTACTGCCAGCACTCTTGTCCACATACTCACCTTTTGTTCAGTGATAACCTCTCATTGGTCTCTTTGCCTTGAACATCTTTTGCAGCAGTCCTAAATCCCAGGTAGCTTGTGGGAGTTTTTCCAAGCACAACTCTGATTACCTAACTTCCCTACTTAAAGTCCTTCAGATGTCTTTTGCTTCCTTCTGTATAGAGTTCCAACTTCTTAGAGTAGAAGCAGGCCACTCCTCTTCTGTTCTCTATCTGTCCCCATTTTATTTTTATGGTATGATATTTCTGATTTTCCCACATATCCTGTTATTCAGCTACTTCATACTTGCTGTCTCTCAATGATTTTGTGCACTTTTAAAGCATATACATATATGTTATTGCTTTCTAACTTAATTTCCTTTTGATTAGAGAACATACTTTACATGATTTGAATCTTTTAAAATTTATTGAGAATGATTTTATGGCAGGAGACATTCGGATTAATATTTCTCACATGCTGCTGATTCATGGACAAATGTTCTCTGACTACACATGAGACCCACCCGGAGAACTCTTTGGTAGTGCATATTTTCAGGTCTGCTCCTACTGGAGATTCTAATTCAGGAGGCCTGGCATAGGGCTCAACAAGCTAATATTTTTAAACACTCCATGGGTGATTCTGATAGCAAGATTTGGGAGCCACTGGTTAATATGGGAAGTGTGAGTTGACAGGGTAGATAACATTGGCCATTTGAGGGTGACTGGTAGGAGGCAAGTGAGGGAGTCCTTCAGGGCTATGCTTTATTTGGGATCTTGTGTGGTATGAAACAAGAAGACAATTTTGCTTTAGATGGGTAGGAATTAGGCAGCACTGCTTCAGTGGGGTCTGTTTCCAAGGCTAGACAGGTCTTGTCTTCATATGATGTGAAAACTGTCTTCACCAAGTTACTCAAGTAACAAACTCTGAAACATATGATTTTACATGTGATTAAGATTCATTTCCTTTTTCAATCTTCAGTTCTCTGATATGTTTCCCCACAACACACTTTTTTCTCCCTTTTTAATACTCATTGTATTTGGAAATGCTTTTAGTACCTGTATTTGCTGCTGGGTTGTATGTAAGCATTGTTTCACTGAATCTATTCATCATTGAATCTTTGGCATTTGGTAATATGCCTGAAGCATAATAGGTGCTTATGGCAGACATTGACTACTATTCACCCAACCTAATTCCTCCCCATCCTGGACACACAGATAGGCATTTTGCAGTCTCCTTTGAGTTGGTGTCATTAAATTCTAGCCATTACTTCCAATGTGAGTGAAAGTGACATGGGCTACTTCTATGCCTGGCTCAAAAAACCCTCCCATGTGCAATCTTCCATGTTAACATCAGATGTGATGTAGGAAGCCATGTGTTGCATATGGTAAACCACCAGCAGCCTGGGTTCCTTAAAACTTACATGGAACCAAACCTATCCCGCTTGCAACTCTCCACTAACTTGTGTTTGCACCAGGCAGTTGAATAAATGAAGAATAAACTACTAATGTGTCAAACCTCTGAACGTATTTTTGATATTCTTAAAGTAGTCTAGCCTTATAAATGCAGCACTAAATAATTGTTGAGTAAAATCTAAAGGAAAAAAAACTGGGAAGTGAGGGGCTCAAAATAAATTGCTCTTTATCTTTCCAAAGAAACTGCTGAAGGTGTAAATTTATCAAAGGAGGAAATATTTTCTTTGATTAGCATAATTATCACAAAGTCTTTATTAATCAAAATGACACCAAACTGGGTCTCATATATGTTTTTATTAATGTGCTTTGGGTCAGTATCCTTCTGCCTTCTTAGGAAACTCACGCCATTGTTCCTTCTCCCTCTCAGATATTCAAACTCACCATCTCAGTCATTCTAGCATATATTAAGTTCAAGTTTCCCTCATATTAAAAACAACATTGACAATGAGTACCAACCTGCTTAGATCCTAATATTCCTCTTTTGTCTCTTTCATAGCCAAATCTCTTAGAAAACTTTTATAACTTATCTCCACTTATGCATCTTTTGGCCTCAAATTGTCAAAAGAGCTTTTACTATCATCATCAAGGATCTGTGTGCCTGAGGTTTTCAGTCCTTATCATCCCTGACTTCTCAACAACAGTTTAACTCTTTCTTGATACATTTTCTTCTAGGGTAGCTAGAAATGAGACCTAGGTAGATGCGGGGATGTGAATGTTGTGGGCAGAGTAAATGGTGTCTTTGAAGATCCTGAGATCAAGTAAGAGCTTAAACTGATAGTCTTTTTGGGTCCAGTCTTGCTCATCTCTTCAACATACCTCTAATCTGTAGTTCATACTCCTTATTTATTTCATAGCAAAACAACTTAATAAGTGATTTGTATGTGATTCAAACCAAAGTACTTACATAGTGTGTGCAGTCCTGTACAGTTTGGCCACTACCTTTCTGGCTTCATCTCCTACCACTCCATCCTAGAATAGGACGATGAGCTGCAGTCAAATATTATGCCAGTAATAACTGTAAAGATATAACAAGTGGTAGATCATGAAGAAGCACAGGAATGTTCATCTTTCCACAAGCATATTTGCTTCTTCAAAATGTGGAGACTTTTTTTCATGTTGCTCTTTTGTTTCCCTAGAATTTTCTCTTTATTATTCAATTCCTCTTTGCCTGGAAAAACCCTGCAGATTCTCCAAGATAAAATTAAAAGCATTTTCTCCTTTGTAGAAGTTTGTCCAATCTTCCTAGGCAAGTTCTGGCAACTACCAATTTGTAGTGCCTAAGTAATTTCTTGCACAGAACTTTATTGTACTTATAACTCTGCTTGTTTATTTACATACCTTGTGCCTCCTAGCACAAGACGGTGAGTTACTGGAGAAAAAAGGACCAAGTTTAGTATATTTCCAGTCATTTATTTTCAGCACTGCATCCTGTAAAAAGTAAATGGTGAACATAAATTTACAACGCAAATAGACCTGATGGTCTTCCCTCCATATTATTATAGACTAGGGATTTTCAGTGTTTTCTGAGGACAGCAGTTTCCTTTGAGGTACAGCAATTCTTTTTTATGGTACCCATATGCTGTTCATAGTTTCATCAGCATTGGCCTTTCCCCCTCAGCACCCTGAGCATGGCCTCCCTGATGGTCTTGGATTTGACACTGTAGATGATGGGGTTTAGCACAGGGGGTACCACCAGGTACACATAAGCAACAAGAGCATGTACAATGTGGGGCAGGTGCCCCCCAAAACGATGGATCATGGACATGGTGATACCTGGAACAAAGAAGACAAAGACAGCCAGGATGTGGGAGACACAGGTGTTGAGGGCCCGGATGCGCTCTCTGGGAGAGGCCAGCCCCAGCACTGTGTGCAGGATGAGAGTGTAGGATAGGATGATGAGCAGGGAGTCTGTGCCCCCCGTGGACAGTACTACATAAAGCCCATAGCGGATATTGATGGTGATGTCATCACAGGCTCTTCTCATCACATCAGGGTGGAAACAAAATGAGTGAGACAGGAAGTTATTTCCAGTGCAGAAGTTTAGACGCTTAATCAAAAATGGCACAGGAAAGAGACACAAGGTGGCACGGGTCACTATAGCCATCCCAATCCCAATGATGACATTGTTTGTGAGGACAGCTGCATAGCGCAGGGGGTTGGAGATGGCCACAAAGCGGTCAAATGACATGGCCAGGAGCACCGAGGACTCCACCACAGAGAAGGAGTGGAGGAAGAACATCTGCACCAGGCAGGCATTGAAGCCGATGAGCCGACGGTCGAACCAGAGCACGGCCAGCGTGGTGGGCAGTGTGGACAAGGTGAGGCCCACGTCTGTGAGGGCCAGCATGGACAGGAAGTAGTACATGGGCTGGTGCAGGCTGGGAGTCCTCCTCACAGCCAAGAGGATCAGGCAGTTGCCAGTGAGGGCCACAGTGTACATGGAGGAGAAGGGGATGGAGATCCAGGCGTGGAGGGCCTCCAGCCCTGGGATGCCAATCATCTGGAAAGCAGGTGGCTGGAAGGAGATGTTGACATAGGACTGGGAAGGGAGCATCCTTGGGAGGCAGTTGAGGTTCCAGAATGACTTGATCTCTTCAGACTGGGTAGACACTGGCAGGATCCAGGATGATAAAAAAGAAAAACTTAGTAAAGAATCCAAACAGTAAAAAATCCAGTTTTATAACTAGTAATATGTTTCAAACATGATAACAATCAAAATTTCACTGACTCTAGTTATGTTATATTCCAGGAACTATACTACTGCATTTGTTTAGACTTTCTCATTTGATTATAGGAATCATAAATTTCTTTTTTAAGGCCTGGTTTCCCTTAACCACAGAATTGGGCCCTAAGAGTCACATCACTATTATGTAATCTTACCTATCTTGTGAAAGTTCAACATCCATAAAGGTGATGGAATGAGATTTCTGTGCGAGGAAATAGTAATTGCAGTTTAGAGCTTAAGCATTGTCTACCTGTTACCCAGTTAAGGCTGTATTATTTCTTTGGGCAGAGGGAGAAAAGAGAATACCTGTTTGGAAAGAGATAACGGTAACTGAAACAGATATGCAGACAGAAGCAAGGGTGAGAGTCTGTGCAGTCCCGTAGAGGGAGAGTCAGAGTGAGAAATTACTTTTTCCCCCATGGAGACAGTTTTGCACTTCCTGAAACTGCATCTCACTAAGGTCGCATGTTTTTCTTGTTCTTGACTTTTGTATGATACACTTTTAATGTATAATAAATTGCTTGATCTTGCTTCAGTATTTTTGAGTGAATTTTCCCATACTCAGAATCAATAGAGACTTTGGACAAACCATCTTTCCCATTATACAGATGAGGAAATTGAGACTCAGAAACTGTAGTGGCTGACCTCTGAATGAATAGTTCATATATCAGAGTCCTAGACATTGAATCTAGGTCTGTCTGATTCCAAATCCAATACTCTCCTGTGGCCTCTTCTTTAATGTGACAAAGTATGTAAAAAGTTGTCAAATGCAAAGTACCACAGATAGGATTATCATTATTATTATTACTGTATCGCCTAACACATTGTATCTCTGTAAATCTTTCTTTATATATTACCCGTCTAATCTTCATAGTTATCTTGTGATGTAGACCCTGAAGGGACTACTAATCTTCCTTTAGGGAAGATGTAACTGAGGTTCAGGGAAGTGACAGGGTTATGTTACTCACCTGCTTAAACTCTTCAGTCATTCCCCATCAGACTCTAATAAAATGGTTGTGATATGGCCCATAGACCCCTATCGTCTAGCACCTGCCTAACTCTCCACCCTTGTCACATAATGGACTTCCTTTTGCTCAGTGTTGTTTAGCTATACTAACCTTATTTTGTTTTCTTAAACAGCCAAATTACTTTACTC